TCAGTTTTCTAACCACCAGGCCACCATTACAGATAAAGAGACTAGAGTAAGGGTATTACTTTGGAAAATCTGTAGTCCAAGGCAGTCTCTTTTAACTGGTTACTCCCTTATTCTACTATGTAGATAAAAATCAAGGTAAGATAATCAAGGGCCGTGAGATTGAACAAAAGCCCAAATTCATTCACACACAGAGATGGTCATATGTAAGTATTCCAGTTCCATAGCTGAGAACTCTGGAATTCCTTGATTGACCATAATTTCATATCCTCCCACCTTTTTCTGGGGCTCACTCCTAATCCTTTATCCTTACTATGTGCTCCAGGCCACTACTCCTGCCCTGGCTTCAATTTCCTCTCTTCTCAATCTTGAACTTTAGGTTAACCAGTGCAACTATGTACTGTCCTTTATCCTCACGACCCCTGTCCCCTTGTCTTAACACAATTCGTGCCCTGCTAAATTCTAACTCTGGGTTAGAGTTAGACGACCCACCTTTTCTTATTCATGTACTGTTGAACAGCACTGAATGTCAAAAAGCAGCAGTATATTGACTGGGTCCACTATAAATTTATGTCATCTAATCTCAGCTGCTCTTCCCTGATAAGTCTATCATTCAACCAAAACTACTCTCTCCAAAGCTGCAATCTCCATAATTACCAAATTTAATGGCCTTTCCTCAATCCTCATTCTTCTTGACCTCTTTACAGCTTTAGCTCTATCAATCACCCTTTTCTCCTCTACACTCTCTTCTCTCCTGGTTCTCTTGGTCCTAGACCTGTCTGACCACTTCTCTCAGTCTCCTTTGCTGGATCTTCACACAAGTCATGCCCACACTAACTGTGTGTGGTCCTTGGGTTCTGTCCTAGGCCCTTTATTCTTCTCCCTCTTTAGTGGGTGATTTCATCAGCTCCCATGGTTTCACTTATCAACTCTATGCTGATGATTCTCAGATCTATTAACCAGCCCTGATCTCTTTCTGAAACTTCAGACTTGTATCTCCAAATACCTATAAGACATTACAAACAGGATATCCCTTGGACATCTTAAACTCAACTCATCCAACATTGAAATCATTATCTTTTCCCCTAAAATCCTCTCCTCTTCCTAATTTCCCTATTTCTTTTGAGAGCACCACTATTCCCCTAATCACTCAGGATCAAAACCTAGGTGTCATTCACAACTTCTCACTCTCCTTCATCACACTCACTTCCAGTCCCCTCCCCCCTGCTCCCATATCCAATCTGTTGCCAAGGCATGTCGATTCTACCTTCACGTTTCTCTTACATTCTCCCTTCTCTGCTCTGACACTGCTACCACCCTGGTACATACCTTCATCACCTTATGGACTACTGCAAGAACCTGCTTTGCCTCAAGTCTCTCCTCACTTCAGTCCATCTTCTACTTAGCTGTCAAAGTGATCTTCCTAAGGTACCATGTTACCTGCCTCCCCTCCCCCAACCCCCCAAAACAAAACATTCTCCTGGCTACTCATCACCCTCAGGATTAAATATAAAAATCCTCTTTCTGGTGTTCAAAGCTTTTAATAACATGCCCCTCCCTCAAACTTTCTAGTCTTCTTATACCTTACAACTCCCATTCCCAAGAACTCTTCAATTCAGTGATATTGGTCTCCTTGCTATTTTTGAGCAAGAAACTCCATATTCTGACTCCAGGTCATTTTTCAATGAAATTCTCTTTCTCCTCCTGGATTTGCTTGTTTCTTTCAAGCCCGAGTTAAAATCCCATCTTCTATAGAAGCTTTCTTAATTCTACGGACTTCCCTCTGTCGACTATTTCTAATTTGTCCTGTATATAATTTGTTTATAACACAGTTATTTGCATGTTGTCTCCCTCTTTGGTCTGCTTGCTAGCTCCTTTAAAGCTAGGACTATTTCTGACTTTCTTTGTATTCTCAGAGCTTAGCACAGTGCCTAGTAGAGAGATGGCATTTAATAAATGTTCACTGGCTGACTTATATGAAACTATTCCAAACTTTTTTTCAAACCTCTCACACTAACTCCTCCTCAATCCTCCTTGACAGAAGACCTTAATTTATACCTCAATGAAAAACAGAAGCCATTTGTCATGAAGTCATTCTTGTGCATCTTAAAACTCCTTGCAATTCCCATTCTCTCTTCCTTTGTTCCAATCTCTGATGAAGAGGTGGGCCTTCTTACTTGGGCCACCCCTTCTACCTATGCCCCTTGATCTCATCCTTCTCATCTCCTTCAGCAACTTTCCCACTCAATCATTCCCCACCTCTTATTAATCTTCATTCTTTCCCTATCTACTG